GATCAATTTTTCATTATCAAATTTTCTGCTAAGAAAGGCCTTCCTGAGTATAATTAGGCTACTTTAGTTTAAATGAGGCTACATGAAATCTTCTAAATTATGCAGGTAATTCAGGTCAGAGGTTAACTTGAAATACTTGTATGTGGCTAATGAAGGCAAAATCTGGTTTAGTGCAAAAATAAAAGCTGTTATTTATTTTAGGAAATTGACGATAGCCTTGGATAAAAATAAGACAGCTGTATTCAGGATTTGTTTTTAAACACCCACATCTCAAGAAGTTAATTATAGGGTATAAACAACCTGTGTCAACAAGATGTGAGTTTACGTGAAGACAGTACTTTTTACATAATACTTTTTGATTTACGTGTTGGATAAGTTTTCACATATATTTTCCTGTCCGAAATTACTTCCCTTTCACAGTCATGAATACTTCATTTGGATGAGAATTCCTCATCTCAAGCCTATTTCATTTAGAAGCCAACCCGTTTAATAAAGATGTTCCTTTAGACTGAAATTTATATCCAGTGTAATAGTCAAATTTTGTTTGCAATGTTACAGCAAAAATATCTCTTCACTCAGGAAGAAAAAGAGACAAGTGACTCAGAGGTTGCAAGCAAAACCAGATATAGTGGAAGGAAGACAAAAGTCCTTTTTTTTGTCACTTTTTGTCCCATCCCCACAAATCTGTTCTCAGGTGGGGAATGTTCCCATTTTTTCCCTGTATTCATATTTCTCCATCTCTATCCATTACCAATTTTCAAGCCAAGTCCATATAGTAACTTCCTTCTATATGAATTTTAGTGTATGAATTTTGAGTAGCAAATTGGTTGGACAGAAGAGAGTGGAGAAACGAGGTTTAGAGTTGGTTTGTTTTGATTGTGCAGGGGGCACCTTAACTTCGGGTAATCTAACCCTGTTCAATAGATGTTTATTAGCAACAGAGCCAACCACTCTAACGATATGTGGTTGACATATAACGTACACCTAATAACTGATGTATGTAAACATTCCACATTACAGTGAAATATATTGGTGTGGGTGCATTTTAACGACAGGATACTATTTTGAGACCTTATCAAATTGTTTGGGACACTTGTACAGATCTGGAATACAGTATATGTTAGATCAACCAAACCCAACTAGCTAAATACTATTGCCATAACTGCATTCTTAACCTAAGCCGATTTTGGAAGTGTAGGATTAGTTCACAAAGTTAGGATTAAAGAGATGAGTGGGTGGGTCCACACAGTTTCTTCCATATTGGTTGTAAAAATTTAGTATGTTATTTTTAAAGTGATGCTTCCCACTTAAATTGTTCCAGTTTAAGTCATCTTATTACCTGTTTGTTATTTCTCATGCATATTAGTCAAAATGAGTAATAGTAGATAGCTCATTAAATGGCTGCTGAAAAGAATTGAAAATAGTTTAAAAACTGGTGTTTTGTTCCAACCGAATCCTGCCGTGGACTAGTTGTGGAGGCTTGAGCAAACCACTTCACTACTTGGAACATGAGTGGCCTCACCTGTGAAAACGGGGCTCAATTGAGAAATGAGAACCACAGGATGTTTACCAGAATCTTCTCCCACCAATCTCAGCCCTCAGGAAGCTGCCCGGTTGGTGCCACTAGCACTGACCGCCGACTGTGTCCCTCACAATGACACCCCGCGTGGCCCCGCCTCCTCCCGCTGCGGCCCCGCCTCTCGCCCGCTGAGGCGCCCACTTCTCCCCGCTGCGGTCCCGCCTCCTTCCCACGCAGCTTTTTCCGGCTTAAAGCCCTCCCCCGTCCCATGCGGAGCCGCGTCCGCCGGCGCCGCCCCCTCCGCGCATCCGCGTGCCGCAGCCCGCGCCGCCTGTCCCCGCCGCGCGCCTCCGTCGCCCGGCACCGCCGCCGCGCTCGCTGGCTAGCCCAGTGCAGGCGCCCGGCTCCCGCCGCAGGAGAGGACCATCGACGCCATCACCACCCTTTCGACCCGGGCCCGGGTCCCGGCCACGCCCCGGGCCCCGGCCCCAGCCGCCCGCCCGGCCGGGCGATGAAGTGTCACTACGAGGCGCTGGGGGTGCGGCGCGACGCCAGCGAAGACGAACTCAAGAAGGCCTATCGAAAGCTGGCCCTGAAATGGCACCCGGGTAACTACTCCGCCGCCGCCCCGGTCCTTCGCAAACCCCGGCCTCGCGACCCTTGTCACCCCTCTCCCCGGAGTAACTCCGGGAACCTGGCTGTGCCTCGACCTACCCGCTCTGTAACTCCCCTCGCCCTGGAAACCGCGCCCGAGACCCCGTCCGGCCCCGGTCCGCGGCCAGTTGGCCCCTGCGCGGCCGTCCCGAGGAGCGACCTCCCCACTTCGCGACGCAGCCCCCCTCCTCCACCAGGCTGTACTCGAACTCCGGGAACCCTGTCCCTTTCCAGACGCCACCCCACCGCCCCTCGCGGTGCCTGCATTGCCACTTGATGGGGAAAGACGACATTCTAGCAACTTCACTTGCTCCAGAGGGAGGAGCCAGGAATAATTCCTAACCCAGTCCTGCTTCTGGCTTGTCCCTTGCTGGCGTCCCCTTGCTGCTCAGCTTCCGCAGGCTTTTCCTGTTACTTAGGTGTCATTTATGGCTCCTGTATTATTGAAATTAAGACAGAGGAGCTAGTAGTAACAGTCTTTTAAATAGCTGTGCTTTTTTTTTTTTTTCCTTTTAGTAGACTGTTTGAGCAGACCCTGTACATAGGCTGTTCAGCAGATCACTAAGAGTTTTAACTGGGTATGTTGTGTGTTTCCTTAGAAGTGTGCTTCGTTTGAATGGTTTATGTGGTTGTAGCCCAGACTTGTGTGACTTTGGTGAAGTAATCTGATCTTACAGACTGGGAAACTAAGTTGAATCTCGGCTTTCTGAGGTTTGTAAGAGGCTTTCATATTAGCACTAATCAATAAGCACATTGATAGAGTCTCCAGTATATGCAAGTCACTACACGGTAGATTCGGAAATGCAGAGACAGAACCTCAGTCTTGCCTTACACATAGGAAAAGTTAAATACAAGTGCAAACAAAACAGCACAACGGATATAATTGGTAATTGGATTAATAGAACTAATAATGCCCCAGGAATTCAGAAGAGGGAGTTTTCACTACATGAGAGAGACGTTGAGGCTTCTCCTTGGTAGAGGAGCCTGGATTTTAGCTGGGTCCTAGAGGAATGGAATTGGGAAACGTGAACTTAACAGTATGCGGAAGAGCATTGGTGGGCGAAAGACGGTCCAGGGAACAGTTTGACTGAAGGCAGTGTTTATTGAAAGTCTGAAAATACGAGATGAGATAGCTGTTGGAAAAGCTCAGGACCCAAAGTCAGAAGGTGATGTCTGTAGTTGACAAGGCAAGAAATAAAGGTATGGATGTGTTGCTTAAAGTTACAATGATTACCAACAGAAGATCTGATATATATTAGAAAGGAAGAGGTAAATGAACTAAATGTTTATCGCAGCAGGGAGTCAGTATCTATATCCCAAAGAATTAATAAATCCAAAATTATAAAAGCACGTTCTTGGAGTAATAGGGGTTACCATTAGAAACCGTGTTAGGAATTAGAAGGAACTTAGGAATTTGTTGACTTTCTGGTAGGACAGTGTGAAGAAGAGGGTTAGTGCTTGTGACCAAAGGCATATATAATTTTGATGACTATGAAGACAGTTTTGAGTAGTAATTTTGAAATTAGATTGTAAAGGGCCTTGAATTTTAGGCTAAGGACTGTGAAATTTGTTTTTCCAATAATGGAGGGTTGAGGCTGACTTTCTTAAGAGGGCTTGGAACTATGAAGCCACCTGAGAGGACTAAAGAGGGATGGAGACAGGTCAGGCACAGTCCACCTGGGAAGGTAAGAGCCCAGGCCAGGCTTGGGGTCAGTGGGCAGGGTAAGGCAGGTTTGAAGAGATGTTGTAAAGGAAAAATTCCCAGGTTTGGTGAATATTTGGAAATCAATAATCAAGGAAGAAATATGCAAATGTTACTGAAATACCAGTTGACTACTTTGAAACCGAACCTGTTATTAACTAAATGTGACCATCTTCTCTGAATGTCATCATAATTCATAGCATCCTAAATATCTTTTGGTTTGAAGGTGCTTATCCATTTAAGGGATAAATACTCCAGGAGATGCATGATTTTGATGTGCTTTGCTGGCTCATTAACTTGTTAATGTGCCATTCAACAAGTGTTTACAGTAATTTTATTATAAGTACAAGGTACTGTGTTAGATGTTTCTGAGGTTAACAAATGGGCTTTGCTTTCAAGAGTAATATGTATCTCAAGTAGAGAGGCGGCCGGCCCATTGTAAAAAAAAAAAAAGATAACATTTATTTTTTTTATTTAGAAACTAAGAATAATTTCTAGTAGGGTCAACAGTACTGCCTAGTGAGATCACGCCTTGCGAAGGGCAGGCTTGCAGTAATTCATGAGATGACTACTCCCTGAGCACTTGACTGTATGAAGGAGACAGGAATAGTCCCTGCCCTGCTGGCACAGCAGTCTTCCGGGTGACACTGACAGGAAAACACAATTTTAATCCTTTGAGATAATGGCAGTATAGAGGCAAATATTGCAGAAGGTGCTTATGAGTACCCACGTGTATGAGTGGGGTAGATGTGCATCCCTGAAGCAGTGACTCAGATAATACAGGTGGAGGGAGGCAAGAGAAAGCACGTGGAGTCCAGGAAGGTGGGAGGGGAGCATGGCCAGGTAAGGAAGCAGGAGCCAGGTCTTGAAGGCCGTGGTAAACTGGATTACGTAGATTGCATTTTAAATAATGGCATCAGGAAGCCAGTGAAGACTTAGAAGCAGGGGAGATACTAGCTTTGTTTTTCAAGCAGCTCTTTGGCTGTAGTGGGGAGAAGGGCTTGGAGCAGGAAAGGCTAGAGGTAAGGAGACCAAGAGGTCAGGGTGCATTGAAGTCACCCAGGATGAGATAGGACCTAGGCATGGAAGCTCTGAGCCAAGTGCCAAAATTCTCAGTGAATAAGTGGGAGCGACTGGGAGGTGAGTAGACAGTGAAGAAGGGGAAAGGTGGTCTAGCCAAATGGTCTGAATCTCGAAGGAGTGCTGGTTTGTGTTTGGGGCGAGTAAAGGATCAGTGACCAGTGGAGCCTGAGAGAGAAGCCGTGCAGGGAAGCCGTGTTCTCAGGGAGCCTGGCTTCAGTCAAGACAGTGCTTAAAAGGCGTGACTCATGGAATTTTCCAGAAGGCACTGTAGAAAGGTTTGGGAGGGAGTGGAAGAGGGCACGAATGGACGAAGAGAAAAGCAAAAGAATAACATGAGAGTGCTTTTTAAACGTTGATGACTGGATTGGCAATACCTGTGGCTTTTGTATTTGGCAAATAATAAATGTGGGCTTTCCGTTTTTTAAATTAGTGCCTTTTAACTTTTTGCTCTCATGCTTTTAGATGTTGGTTCAACCTTATAGTCACCCAGTTCAGGCATGTTTAAGTGAAATAAAAAGCCATATGACAGATTGAGAAATTATTTAAGAAAGAAGTTTTAGTAAGAGATTAGACCTTATTTCCAGGAGGTACATTCATGGGTTTTATGTGTTTAAAAGCTCTAGCTTTCTTCAAACTTCTTTGGGGGAGGAAAGAAAGGAGTGGGAAGAAACAGGACAAAAAGTACAGAACTGATTAAAAGGTGAAGAAGAACCACCCACCTACCACCCCCAAACAATCACCTTTTTGGTTTTATGTGGGAAGATTTATTTGCTGGCTTTTTCTGCCATTTTGCTTTCTTTCGAATTCTGCTTATTTATTTCTCTGACCAAAAATGTATTAATAATTTGATGAAGATATAGAAATCATGACTTTATCTGGACTCTCACCTTGAGGGTGTATCAGGATTGTGTTCAGCTGCAAGTGACAGGCAGCTGGCTATAAGTGGCCAAACCAAATACGTAGTCATTTTACCAAGATACTCAGAGGTGGCCCATCTTGGTAGCTCTAGCAGCTTGACGAAACCAGCGAAGACCTGCTACAGCACCCTGACCATCAGGCTTGAGTCCTTGCACCACGTGTAAGCAGTTTAGCCTCAAAGATAGAAAGAAGTTCATTGCTCTCTCATGTAGAGGTGCAGAGATAGGCAGGGGAGCCCCAGTATAACAGTTCTCCATGAGGTCCTTGCACTCACTGCTCAGCTACTCTCAGATGGGCCCTCTCTCATCATCCCAGGTGGCAGCTGAGGATCCCAGGCAGCACAATCGAAGAAGAAGGGATAAAGCAGTGACAGAATGTGTGCTAGTGCTAGTTACCTTTTAAGGAAGATTCTTCAAAAGCTGTCATAGAATATTTTACAGCTTAGTCACATGGCCATGCCTAAGCTTCAAAGGAGACGGAAGTGGAGTCTATTCTGGGACCAGGTGCCTGCCCTGAATAAGGGTTCAGTTATTACTGGAGAAAGGGGATGAGCTAGCAGTCTCTGCCTCAAGCCTCGGGACACAGGATGGGGTAAAGGGCCTACGGTGAGTGCCGCCAAAGCCCATCCGTCCCTTCCATCTAGAAACTGAAGTCTTTCCTGGTAAGCTTCACTTAGTAGACATAGGTTTATATCTGATTGGCTAAAACTGGGTCACCTGATAACGCCAACTTCAAGAGAGCCTGCAGAGGTGAATTTTTAACTGGGCACATTACCGCTGTGAATAAAGTCAGGGTTTTGTTAGGAAGAAGAGGAAAAGCGATACCAGGTAGGCAACTAGTAGTATCTATCACAGAGTGGTAATCAAAATCTAAAATAATGACAGTAGGGCACTGAGTGTCCTGTACTACCTAGAACTCAACTGTGACAGGACCACAACAAGATGGAATTTGGTAGTATTAACTGGAAATAACAGAAAACCTAACCACAGTGGCTTAAATTAAAGAGGTTTCGTTTCTCACCATAAGAAGGCTTGGAGGTAGGTGCCTGCTGCTGTTGTTTTAGTGGTTCAGTAATGTCGCCGTGAAGCTCTTGGCTCCTTCACGATCTCAAGAGACCTACTGAAGCTCCAGCAATCATGTCCACGTACAAGACAAGAAGAAAGAAGAGAGGAAATACACTACTATACGGCGTCCATCTCATGCACCAGAGCTGTGTCACATGGCCATTCCTGGCAGCAGGGGAGGCTGGGTAAGCAAGTATTTTAGCTTATCCAGCCGCTCTCGTAAAGGCTGCAAGAGAAAAGGGGAAAGGTGTTGGATGATCGAATCTTTAGTCTGCCACAGAATGGATTAAATTTATTATACAGCCATCAGTTGACTTGTCAGTAATACGAAAAATACTTGAAACTTTGTCAGCTATAAATTCAGAATGACGTAATGTGATATTGTTGCTAAAAGCTGATGTAATTAGCTACAGTGATTAACAGGGTTAAGAAAAGGAAGTCATGAATGGCTCCTTGACTCTCGGTGCCAGCGTTTAGCTGCATTTAAAGTAGAGGATTGTGGTGCGCTGTAAGAAATGGGAGTGTTTAGTCCAGAGAAGAGGTGGAGTAGGAGATGACCCATTGGTTGTCTTCAGATGGGCTGCGCTGTGGAAGGGGATTTAGGCTTGTTGTAACTTCTCACATACAACTAGGCTCCAGGGATGGAGATTTTTTATACTTCTTTCAATTCCAAGGGACCATGATTCTAAAATAATACTGAAAGCGTTTTGTGTTACAGAATCTTAGCAAAAGAGCTATGGCAAATTGCAGCCCTGGAGAAAGGATTGTCAGTGTTAGTTTTTGAGCAGACCACCTGAAGGACCTGGGATCCCTGTGGTGGTACCTGAGGAGGAAGAATGCCCTTGAAGGCCTTGTTCTAAGGCTGCCAGACTACTTGTAGGAAATTCATTTCTGTCATATCTTCTAACCTCTCAGAAGGGCAAGTGTTGAGTTGTAGCTTAAAGAACTGTGGTATGCTCCTTAGCAGATTCAAAATATTTTCCTTTCTGAGTTCAATATTAGTTATCTATTGCTACGTAAAAAATTACCGGAAACTTAGGGCTTAAAACAACAATCACAGCAAATGTTCATTCTGTGGACTCACACAGTTTCTAAGAATTAGAAACTGGGAACAGCTTAACTGGGTGGTTTTGGCCCAGGGTGTCTCACGAGGTTATATCTTCATTGTCTGGGAAAACCTACTTTCAACTCACACACTATTGGCGGGCCTCGGTCCCTGCTGGCTGTTGGCAAGAGGCTTCCGTTCTTCACCGTGGGCCACCTGAGTGTCTTCATGCCGTGGCAGCTGGCTACTCCCAGAGTGATCCAAGAGAGAGCAAGAGCCCAAAATAGAAACTGCAGTCTTTTGTAAACTAATCTCAGAAGTAACATATCATGCCATCATCACTTCTGCCTGCTGTGGGCCATACAGACCAATCCTGGTGACTTGGGAGGGGACTACTCAAGTGTGAATGCCAAGAGGTGGTGATCCTTGGGGACCATCTTGGAAGCTGGCTACCACCCTGAGGCAAGGATGCTTTCTGAACTCCATGGTTAAGGAAGCACAGCTAAAGGAAGAATAATTAGTATATCTTTTTAAAACTTCATGTGACTTGTTTTGTTATATGTTAAGAGAGAAAAGCTTGACAACGTCAATAATAAACAATCTAACACTAAATAATAACACTTTGTATAACTGACTTGTCTCTGTATATATTATCCCTTCTAAAAATAAAATGTATGCTACTCAGGGTTTTTCATTTGTGGATATCTTGGTTGAGTGCTCAGTGATGTATCAAGACTTAGGGAAAAGCATGAAACCTACTCAAGGAGATACAATAGATTCTAATTGTCAACTGTCATCCAGTAACTCTTTGCTTTTCTCTGGTTGTTTTTCTTTGTTTTGTACACTCCTCCTCTGTTTATGGCATTTGTGATGGGAGAGGTCCCTTTTAGATTCTGTCCTCTACCTTCTTGATGACTCAATTTCTGTGCCTTTATCTTTTAACAGATAAAAATCTGGATAATGCTGCAGAAGCAGCTGAACAATTTAAATTAATCCAAGCAGCATACGATGTGTTGAGTGACCCTCAGGAAAGAGCATGGTGAGCATCACGCTGTCCCTCCTGTCCCAGTGTATTTTATTGGGAAGAATTGTCAGTAGAGGGTTTTTGTTTGTTTGTTTGTTTGTTTGTTTGTTTTAACACAAATGATTTTTGGTGTGTTCTGAGGCTTCGGTCACCTACTCATTATATAAAAAGCAGCATTTGGGTCGGAAGGAGCCTCAGATGATTTCTCCAACACCTGGTTTTATAGGTAGTGAAACAAACTTTGCATTATTAGATAGTTTTAATTTCCGTACTTATTAAATGGGGTCCATTTGGTGTATGACAAGTTTACTAATGTCAGACAAGGAAGAGTGCTGACTTGTCCTTAAACAGATACTAGTGTTTTAATACAAGAACTGTAGTATTTTCCCAAGAGCTACTTTATATGAAGAAATCTAGTTAAGCTATGACAAATACTTTTACTAATAATAACTTTTCCAATCAAAAATTTCTATGTTGGAAGTTGTGAGTTTTTAGATGCTTGCTGAACTTTTTGCTCCAAAGGAATAGGTTTTAAGCCCTGACATAGCTGTGAGTTCCTGCTGCTCCAAAGCGCAGTGGATGCTCGGTGCTCCCACGCAAGTCTTCTCTGCATTAAAATAGTGTACAGCAGGGCCAGCTGTCCAGAGAAAGGCTGTAAAGAAAATTCTTATAAAATTGTCTTTTATATGAAAATCAGAGCGAGAATCTTATGTTTTTCTCCTCCCAAGGACATTGGAGATCTAGCCTTAGAAATGCTTTTGCCTCCTGTGGGAACTTTGATATTCAGCCCTGACTTCCTTTTGCCCTAGCCTCTTCTCGAGACCAGGTTGTTTTTCTGTTTCAAGGATCCCCTTGCCTTTTTATTTAAAGCTCCTGTCTGTTAATGCTCCTGTTATCTGGAGGCAGTACTGTGCAGTGCTGGGTGCACAGTCCTTCCAATGCAGGGAGACCTGGCTTTGAATTCTAGCTTTGCTGCTTACTGGCTTTATGATTACGGACAACAAGTTATTTAAAACCACTGAGCTTCAATTTTCTTTTACAACAAATGGGGATAATCACTACCTTTACAGAGTTATTATGAGGGGTAATTGCATGTATATGAAGCTCCTAGATTGTTTACATACACATAGCAAGAGTCTTATTCCGGTACATGCTGGTAAATGCCCAATCCCAAATGTATAATTAGTCTGTGGATGCTACTGCCCTGTTTAGTAGAGTTTCTCTCCTGTGAAAATGCAGCCACCTTTCTGGGAGGGTCATGGGAACGCCCTGGCTTGTGAAATTCCCCTGTTCATGTTGGCTAGTACTGTATAATTCCTGTAATGTGCTAGAAGTTGCAATCATAGTTTTAATCAGCAATTTTGTGAAAAGTTAAGTCGTTTCAAGTTTTTTTCTTAAAATTTTTTGGTTGCGAGTTGGACACATTAAAATGTACAATAATAACATTTTGGCTGTTTTCAGAGTAAGGAATCCTTTTGAATTCTTATGTGTTCAGCCTTCACTGATGCTAACTTTTGTTTATTTGTTTAGGTATGATAATCATAGAGAAGCTCTGCTCAAAGGCGGGCTTGATGGCGAATATCAAGATGACAGCTTAGATTTGCTTCACTATTTCACTGTTACCTGTTACTCTGGTTATGGAGATGACGGAAAGGTAAGAAATGAACTCATAATTGCTTACCGAGCACTTAAGACTTTCAAATACTAAGAGAATTCTATAACAGAAATTGAAACAGTGTTCATTTTGAAAACTGAAAAAACAGTGCCTTCATATTAAACTGCCAGCATATAAATACCTCTATTTGAAGATTAAATGTACTTGTGGTAACAGAGCTTGGGACTATAGTTCTTTAACATTAAAGTTTTCATGTTACATTTTAAAATCGTATTCTGTGATGAGACTACAAAAGTATTAAGAATTTGCGTTTCTGTGAACTGTTTTTTAGGGCTTTTATACAGTGTATCGTAATGTTTTTGAAATGATTGCAAAGGAAGAACTAGAATCTGTATTAGAAGAGGATGCTGAGGGTTTTCCAACTTTTGGAGACTCCCAGAGTGACTATGATACGGTAAGAGAAAAATGCATTGCCATTTTATAATTAGTATTTATCAGTGTGTCTTTTCCCCGTTTCTTTATTTAAAAAAAAAAAAATGGACTCTAGTTCTCAGCCCTGTGCTCTGACTCTCTTCCTCTCTCGCTTTCTTCCTGGTAGTCTCCCCGTTTTTACTTTTCACTACTTATTGACCATGGGCCCTTCCCATTAATTTCCTCATTAAATTCCTACTGAGGAGTGATTTATTCTGTTAAATATTAAGTGTTAGAAGGACTATCTTCTCTTATGGTTAATAGTAATGTTATATAGATTAAGAAAGATGTTTTGCATCATTAATATTTGCCACCTTCCAAAAAAACCTAAATAAAAAGCTAGTTATTTCTTTGTCACTAGGTAGTCCACCCTTTCTACGCTTACTGGCAGAGTTTTTGCACTCAGAAGAACTTTGCTTGGAAAGAAGAATACGATACTCGACAAGCTTCTAACCGCTGGGAGAAACGAGCCATGGAAAAAGAAAACAAAAAGATTCGAGACAAAGCAAGGAAGGAGAAGAATGAGCTTGTTCGTCAGCTGGTGGCGTTCATTCGTAAGAGAGATAAACGAGTGCAGGCTCATCGGAAACTGGTGGAAGAACAGAACGCAGAGAAGGCGAGGAAAGCCGAGGAGAGGAGGCGGCAGCAGAAGCTGAAGCAGGCACAGTACGTACGTGGGGCCGGAGCCTTTTCCAGATACAGGTGTGGAGTCCAAGGAAGCGTCAGTATTCAGTAGGTCCCCAGCATGTGCTTTCATGTTGGGTTAAGGCGTCATCCTGGCTTCATGCTTTTTGTTAATCCTGACATTGGACAATGGTTTTTCATCTACTGTGGAAAAATGTTTCTTGAATTGGAGGTTTTCCTTCCAAGGACCTTTATATTTGAGATGGTTTACCAACTCTTGTAAAATTTAATACTAACTAACGTTAACTGATTTCTTAGTTTGTACAAGGCTCTGCTTTAAATGCTTTTCTCACAGTTTTCCGTGAAGTGAGTTCTGGTTTTTATCCTCATTCTTTTGAGGAAACGAGTCAGACAGGCCCAAAATCGCATGGCTCGTAAGTCAGAGAGGTGGGAATTGGACCCAAGAAATCAGTCCAGTGCACTTCTTTTAACCATGATGCAGCACTGCCTCTGTCAGTGTACTCTTACACATTTAGTGCATTTTAGTCCCTTTAGAGTTTTGTTGTTTTGAGTTACTGTAAAAACATTGTGTCCCAAGCATTAAAGCATGCTTTAAAAAATTACTTCTTAAAAATTCTACCTGCCCCAACTCTCATCTTTTGAAAATTAGCATTGTATTCGACGCTTAAGACTCAGAATCACCTGAATAATAAGTCACCAAGAGTTACCTGTTTCAAAACCTATGATCTAGTAGAACAATTAAAATCAGCTGCATAACAGATTAAAGTGACTTTGCCCGTTTTAACTCAGCACAGGTTTTAAATTGAAGCATTGACATCTTGGGGGGAAGAAGCTCTTCTTCCAAGGGGATCGGTTTTAAGCCTAAAGAGTAAGTGAAACCAATGCAGAAACTGTTTGTTTGTAGACTGGCAGAGCAGTACAAGGAGCAGAGCTGGATGACGCTGGCAGACTTGGAGAAGGAGCTCAGGGAGATGGAGGCGCGGTACGAAAAGGAGTTTGGAGACGGGTCAGATGAAGATGAAGTGGAGGAACATGAGCTCAAAGACGGACAGGATGGTAACTTCTTTCAGCCATTAAGAATCTTTAGAAAATCAGTGTTTTCGTGCGTAGGGGTTGTGCACTCAGGATGCTTCCAGGTGCCAGTAAAGGGGCTCGGGTAAGACGGAATGGGAAAGTGGGTAAAAACCTGGAGAACACCCAAGTTCTATGGTTTTCATGTTTGTTTGTTTGTTTGTTTGTTAAGTGAAGCTGGAAAGCTGGATTTTTGTGTGACATCTTCCAACTTTTAAATGTGGTAGATAATTAAAATGAAAGACAATACTGTATGGGCCAAGGAAAGGTAGTCTATTGAAGTAGTCTTATTCTGGTAATTTAACTCTTTCCTGACTGTTTTAAACAGCTTGTGCTTCTGGCTGTATAAATACAGAGGGTGCCAAAAAAAATGTATACACATTTTAAGAAAGGAAAAAACTGTATTAAAATTGTAATACTCAATATATACCATTAACAAAAGATGAATACAAGTCACGTTTGACTTCTGCAATTACAAGAGGTGCTCAAAGCGGTTACCATCAGCGTAATTTTAATACAGTTTTTTCCTTTCTTAAAATGTGTATACATTTTTTTGGCACCTTCTGTATCTTGACAAGTCAACATATTGATAGGTGTGACTGACGGGTTATTTCAAAAAAATGCAATTAAGCAGTAGGTCAAATTTTAATAGCAGCTCTTTACAGAAAAGCTGATACTACACAGGAGCCCATGTGGTGTATATAAATTCTTCCTCTCATTTCTGACTTTGTAGAAGGGCTCTTGGTGTCCTTAATTATTTACAAATGTACTTTTTTCAGACTAATAGCCAAAATGATAAAATGACAGGTTTCTATTTATTCAAAATAATTAGGAAATGAAATGTTGTATTAATGAATTAGAAGTAGTATGTGTGAAAGTGCTTTGAAAATTAGAAAGGACTCTATAAATGTGAGGTGGTGTAATTATGTAGAGTTCCACAGTCTATAAAGTGCTTTCACATACAAGATCTCATTTGATCCTCTGACAGTAGCCCTTAAATGTAGGCTTTGCTCATAGAATTAGCTGCATTTTACTGACGGAGACACTACGACTCTTGAGAGGCTATGTCACATGCCTGAGAACACAGGGCCGTTTTAGGTACTGATTTTCACTTCAAATCCAGCATTTTTTATTAGCTATTTGATTAATCAAAATTCATTTCATATTAACTATTTGATTTTTCAAAGTTTATTTTACGTATATGATATATTGAAAGTATACACATAATTGGAAAATAATGCCACGTACTAAGCATTGGATTATTTTGATCATTTATGATTTCAGTGAGAATGTCCTTCAGAATCATATTAACATCACTTCTTATAAAGAACCATACTGTAGAACATAGAAGAGGTACTTTGGGATCTTTATTGGTCCCATAATAAATCTCAGATGGCAATCAGTTTATTTTTTTATTTCATATAAAGATAGAATATGGTATTGTACAAGGACTTTCAATTGAGCTTTTTAAAGTTGCTTAGATTTTTAGACTGTACAGATAGTAATTATTCTATCGTAATAAAGCTTCAACCTTATAAAAAAAGTTTGTAAAGATAATGCTAAACTGTACGTGTAATATGCTATTTTATGACCTAATAATAATAGAATGTCTTAGGTTAAGTTTATTTAAGCATTTAAGAGTAGATTACAGTTATAAATATGTTTGTACTAAATAATTACAGTTATAAATATGTTTGTACTAAATCTTGCTCAAGAGGTAAATTTAAAAAACTTTGTTGAAAAAACTGTTTTGTGGTAGAACTATGAAAGTGACATTTGATTTTCTGAATTTAGCTCACACCCAAGATTTTGAGAATTTTTTGTTTTCTTCTAAGTAGGTTTTTGAAAAGAACTTGAAAGATAAAGTGATATATTTGATTTATTTGTTTCATAATTTAGTGCTGCTCTTAAAAGGTCAACCCAAATCCTGATAACATTATTTGTTTGTGTGTGTGTGTGTGTGTGTGTGTGTGTGTGTGTGTGTGTGTGTAAAGAAATAAACATTTTATTTCTAATTTGTGTACAACTTTAGATCCTTACTAAAGAGATGTGCTTTGTTAGCTGGTTTTAGGTTCGTGTTATAATCAAACAGGCTTCTTACTGTAGGCTTCCTTCTTGAAGGTAAAGATAGTGATGAGGCCGAGGATGCAGAGCTTTATGATGGCCTGTACTGCCCAGCGTGTGACAAATCTTTCAAGACGGAAAAGGCGTAAGTTTAATACCTTTGTGCTCATCTTTTCTTTTGAGGTGAAATGTAAGACTTTGAAAGTCCTAGAAAGAAAGTGCTTGTAGCAGTTGATCAGTAGGCCTCACATGTCATCCGGGGGGGTTTCTGTCCAGGGGAGGAAGAAGGATGTGGACCAGCAGTTACACCTATTGTGCGGATTCCCAGTTGTGCCAGAATCCCTGTGGAATACCTGCTTTTCAAACGTGTACACTGTCTCCAGAAAGAGTTGCTTGTTTGGGCAAAGAAGGCATAGTCACACAGGCAAAGAGGCTAGACCAGAGGTAACGGTCTCTCTGTGGTTGGTGGCAGACTCACTGGCCGTCACGCTCCCGTACAGGTCATTGCTGCCAACTTGAAACATGTCCTGCCTATAGTCTGTTTGTTGAAGTGGAAGGACTTTATTTTATGGGAACAATGGCAAAGAGAGAAGTATTCAAAAGGATACTGTTATGAAGGGCGTAAAGGATATGAGAGAAAATGTGGTATCAGTAAGGGAAAAAAGCAAAACACGTGTAGTAAAGAGGAAAGGAGACCGAAGGATGAAATAAGGGTGTGGGAGTCCCAAATGGTCTTCCTGGATAACCCCCAAGGAAAGCGGGGAGAGGCAGAGAACTTAGAAAAAGCAAGGAAACCAAAGCAGCAAGGAAGGAGATTCTTAAAAATTATTTTTTGTTGGGAAACAATGTCAAACTTACAAGTTGCAAGAATAGAACACAGATCATCTGATTTACGTGTTGCTCACACGTTGCCCCATTGGGCTGTGTTTGTTCTCTCTCACTACCCACACGAAGCTTTTTCCTGAATAATTTGGGAGTAGGTAACGTAAATACTCCTTTACCTCTAAGTACTTCAGTATATATTCCTTAAGAATAAGGACATTCTCTTACATAATCACAGTACAGCTGTCAGCTCAGGAGCTTTATGACATTGATATGGTACTTCTGTCTCGCTTACTGCACACATTCCGCTTTTGTCAGGCGATTCTTTAGCATTAACGTCCTCTATGGCCTCTTTCCCACTTTGACATAGGGTGTGGTCTAGGATTGTGTATTGCATTTATTTATTTAGTAGTTTTTTTTTTTAATCTGGACCAGTTCTGTTGTTTTTGTCTTTGATATTCCAGAATACTGGCCCTTGAAAATATTTTTTAATATAATAGAGTTTTTCTCCTTTTGGGTTTGTTTCTTCATGATTAGATTCAAGTTACGCATGCCCAGCTAGAATACTCCATGGACATGTGTTGCTCTCAGGGTTTCGTATCTGAAGGCACATAATGTCCATCTGCCCTCATTGGTGGTGATCGTTTTGATCACCCACTCAAGATGTCCAATTTTTTCACCATAAAGTTAGTATTTTTTTTCCCTGGCAACGTGTATGTTTTTAGAGCATGTTTAATCTGTGGGGGAAACGCTTTAAAACTGCAAATATCTTGTTCCTCATCAAAATTTCCTTCCCAAATTTAGCCTGTATTGATGATTTCAGCTTGTACCAGCCTGCACTGTGATGGTCCCCAAATTAGGTGTTTTTGGTGCCCATGCCTCTTCTGCATTAGTCACCATTTGGCCTTCTGCTGTAACAAGAGCCTCCCTTTCCCCCATTTCTCTGTGGTCTGCCTGAATTTATGAATTCTTTTCAGTGTTCTATAATTCATTACTGCCCTTTTCATGCTCACATTTTTCCAGATGTAGTTAGTGAGAGTTCCCTCAACCTGGCTCCTGTGTCCTTTTCACATGTCCCAGTCATGCGCACTTAGTTTCTGGCACAGGATGTTCTAGTTTCTCCAAGGAGCCTTGATCCGAAGGAGAATTTTAGTGGGGAAGGAGAGTAACATCCCAGATGAGGAAACCAAAATCTGAGCAGATGAGATAAAAAGTTGACATTGACACAGGTTTCCTATTTTCTGGTTTAACTCTTGTAGCTTACTTGAACTCTTTTTGTGAGGTAGTACTTAGTTGTTCATGGGAAATAGACATTGCTCAGAATTTTCGAGGGATACAGATGGATCTGAACTCACATTTAGGGTGGTGGGGTGAGAAGGGAGACCCCTCTTGAGAAGGTGAAAGCTGCTGAAAAAATAAAAAAGAAGTAAATTATTCTTATACATCAAAGCCTCACATCACCATTTCTCAAATCCATGGTGTCTTCCTTTTAAAGTTAGAATGTGATTTTGTAAGTTCCTAGTGATCCCTCGAAGCCCCATAGCATGACCTGGAACATCTGAGCACTTAGCAAATAGTTAATGAGTAAGAGGAAACAGTGGAGAAGGTTTGAATTTTTAAAATTGTAAAATAAAAAGTAATAGAGAATTTGACAAAAAAAAAGGAGAATGTACGTAGACAAAAGGACAGAAGAAGGCGAGAATTTCTTCCTGGGTTACAGGAAGAAAGAACGTAGTCATGGGCTTCCAGTGTATTTAATGCCTAAGAAATCCTGACAGTTCTGTTTCTTCTTATAGTATCACTAACACTTTGCTTACTTAATCGGAAAAAACTAAAATTTAACTTGGTTGCACTTTCCCAACAACACATTTGGGCACATATAACATCATCCTGTTGCAGTTACTTATATTGGATTGTTCTTTCAGTATGAGGAATCATGAGAAATCCAAGAAGCATCGGGAAATGGTTGCCTTATTAAAACAACAGTTGGAGGAGGAGGAAGAAAATTTTTCAGGACCCCAGACTGGTGAAAATCTATCAAATGCCAATTCTGAGGAAGAAATGGAGGATACACCAAGACAAAAGTATGTACTTCTAAAAATGTCACTAGACATATTTATCCCATTTAGAGATTGCATTTAAATGCTTTTTTATCTCAAATAAGTTATTTTATTGGCTAATATTTTCTGTGCTTCTTCTAGTTAAGGGAACTTTATAGTATTGAAATGGGTAAAGACATAATGTCAAATATAATTTTTACAGACTATTTGTGACTATTTTAAAAGCAGTTTTTACCTAGTTGATATGCTGATTACTATCAATAGAACCACTGTTATAATTTTCTAAAATGATGTGAATACTTTCTTTTCCTTTTAATGTTTTATGATATTAAGTAATTTTAATATTTTACTTTTCTCTATTACTTGTGTTTCAATATTTTCTCTTTTCACTTAGTAAGTCTTCACAGTAAAATATTTGACATTTTGATTTATCTTTGTTCTTAGGCTTTCTAAAAAACAGAAGAAAAAGAAACAGAAACCCACGCAAGTATGTTGAAAAGTTTTATTAACATTAAAAATCAAATATGGAGTTTTAGTGCTCTTGTTTATTCAGCATAACTTGTATTAAGGAGACTTTCGTTTTTTTATTTTATGTTGATTATAAAATAGATTAAAAGGAGTTGAAAATATTTTCTTGTTTTAGCACACCCACTACATGTATGTAGCTAATTTATTTAATTACTATTGTCAGTGTATTTAAGAATTTTGCCTGTGCAGTTCCACTAATTCTAATTAGCTGAATGACGATATTAAAAAAAAAAAAATCTGGATACATATAGTGACAGGGTTTTTAAATCAAGACAACAATTAAAATCAGAAACATGAAAATCTGGGGACTGATCGTTGCATGTTTCAGGTTTATTCTGCCAATAACATAAATGAAGTTTTGCAAAAGGAACATTCAGTTAGAAACTTGCAATGATTGTGATTATTGAAAAAATGTTCTTTTATATTACTCAGAAATTTAAGTAGTTTAAGTATTTCATACCTAGAATCCAAATTTAATCTCTATCTCAAGAATTATAGTCATCCTTCAGTATCTGCGGGGAATTGGTTCCAGGACCCCTACAGAAACCAAAATCCACGAATGCTCAAGTCCCTTATCTAACATGGTGTAGAACAGTGCATACAGTCGGCCCTCTGCATCTGCGGGTTCCCAACTGCAGATCGAAAATACTGTTTTCAGTTCTTGGATGGTTGAATCCAAGGATGCAAAACCTGCAGGTACGGAGGGACAACTGTATTTTTAAATATAAGGGTATTATGTTGATAAATATGTGTAATACAGTCTAGTGAGTGTATAAACAAAATGAACTTGTCCTTTTTTCTAAGGATATTTGATGGTCCTAAAGGGAATGGAATTGATTTCTGTGCCATTTTAATATAATCTAATTGCATTAGCTTGTATTAAGCATTAAATGTTAAATACAGTTCTTTTTAATAACTGAAAATGTTTTCAAGAAAACCTAGGTATCACACTATAATTTTTCATAAAACTTTAGAGTTTGGCTTTTAGTTATATATTTGATAATTCTTATCTGTCTCATATTCCAAAAATTATACATGACACAATGATACGTGGGTTAATCACTATTAAAATTGTGGCGTTGAACTTTTTGCTTCCATTATTAAACCATGCAGCAAGTTTATGTTCCTTTTATTTAAGTGACTCATATCACTTTAACCAAGTTTTTAATAAAAGTTTTTAACAAAACTTTCATCCAAAGACTCATTAGTTTGAAACACTTTCCCTCTTCTTTGTGTGTGCCAGAACCATTAGAATAAAGACAAGATAAAATAGAGAGGAATTTATACCTAACCCAAGCTTACCTCATCTCAAGTCATGAAGGATAGATCTAAATATTGCAATAATAAACACATGTATTTGTATTATTCCCAGTGAATATGCTTCAGTTTACCACCCCACTTTCCCCTCTAAGGCCATATTCCTAGATAATCCCTCTTGTTTATGATTTCTGGTTATATAGGGAGAAAGCCCCCATTTAGACCTAGTTTTATGTAGCTCTTTTCCTGATATTAATACTTCCTTAGTTGAAGGGGACAGTAGTATGCAGACGTGTATGGTTAGATTAAAGAGCAGGAAGCAGCAAATACTGAGAATCGTGAAACTTCAGGTTTGGGAGAGTTTTCTGTATGGTGAGAAACAAATTGCATAAACCAACAAGGATTATAAAAGAACCACCCCCCCCCCCCGCAAATTGACATTGAATGTAAACAAATGACCCTGGCTGACAAGAATTAATCCAAAAAACTTGAACACAGCACTCTAAGTGAACACCATCATGGGATATTCCAAAGACAAAATTAACTGCAAAAAACTAAATCTTGAACTTTACTTAGTAGATATTTTGGTAATATTTGAGAAACCAATCTGTATCTACAGGTTCTGCATCTGCAAATTCAACCAACTACAGAATCAAAAATATAAAAAAAAGATCCAGAAAGCTGATCCTTAAACACTACAGTATAACAACTATTTACATAGCACTTATATTGTATTAGCTATTATAAGTGATCTAGAGATGATGTAAAGTATATGGGAGGATGTATGTGGGTTATATGCAAATACTTCACTATTTTATATAAGGGATTTGAGCATCTGTGGAGTTTTGGTATCCTCGGGGGAGTCCTGGCACCAATCCCCCGTGGATACTGAGAGATGATTATAAATACATTAATTTGTTGGGAACCAGATTCTCTTGTGGAAGAAGGGAAACACAGATATAGATTGAGGGGAAGAAAAGAAGAATACTGTTATGCTGGATTGGAATTGGAGATACCAGTGTGAGCTCATGAATTAAAAAATGAATGCATTAAGTAAAAGTCACTAGCTGTGCACACGGAGCGCCTAGCAGCAGTGATGCTCAGTGGCAATGAGCATACCTAGTGCACACATCTTGGTTTCTAAGGGGCCTTCCCCAGTTGAAGGCGTCAGGGTTTAGTCCTTGGAGAAACAGCTGGTTCCAGGGTTGGGACAGGGAAAGCACAAGGTAAGCCTGGGTCATCGGTGCTACAAACTAAGAAAGTATTCACAGATCAGTGGGGATACATCAGAACTACCCAGCACTCAGCTTAAAGGCCTGATAAATTTGGGAAAATTTGAGTCATCAAAAAGAATACCGATGATATATTTTTACACATTGATTTTGTTTAAAAAAAAAATCATGTTTCTATTGATACACTGATATATTAAGCCTAAAAAGAGAGCTGGAGAAAGGAGGCAGACAGGTTTCATTACAGAAGAATATGAATTAATACAAAATGCATATGGCAGGACTAATAGAAACAGGAAAATCACTGTTGTGCATCCACCAATATAATAAATGGTTCACGCAAGAATCATGAGTACCAGATCTGTTGGGTGAATAGGTGTTAGGGAACAGGGTGGTGACACAATCTCAAGGTAACACTGCACATTACTTACTAAGAAAGGAAAAAGGTACTTTAGAAATGTCTGGCAATACCACCTTAACCAAATGGCCAGACTGTAACCACTGAAAAAGGGGACAAACTGACTTTTTTTTTTTTTTTTGTAAGTCAATGTTTTATTTTTCATTCCTTAGCTTTACAGAATACTCTGCGTTATTAGATGCATGT